CTCCCACCTCACAAGTTTGTGTTTCGTCCATGCTGCTGTTACTGATTGCAGGAAATAAATACGCTTTAGTTTATGTTGACCTCCAGTGACATGACGTTTATATAAAATCCACGAGAATCGGTCAGTACACAGAAAAATTGAAAGGGGATGCACACAGACCACAATGTGGTACAATGAACGTATATTTACTTGAGGAAAGAAGGAGTGTATTTAATTCTCACGGGAGAAATTCTTGAAAATGGGCCATAAAGTTTTTGGACAAATACGCGTTTTTTTTAATTAAAACTGTTCCTAATATTTACAAATGCTCTAGTCACTAAAAGTGAATGGATTACTGATATCATAAACATTGGCTAATGTAGGCCCACAGAAATTAAGAGACATTCGTAACTTTGTCATGTTATTAATTACATATTTTCAGCAGGATGTGAGGAAAGTTTCGATTCTGAGCAAAGTTAAGACTTCACAGAATGATATGCAAAGAGAACTTGAAGGGTTGCGTGAAAGTGGATAGAGGACAGTATGCTGCCCTAAGTTTTTGTATTCGACAGACATTTGAACATCAAGATTCTAATTTATATTTATGCGAAAAGGCACGTTTAGTCAAAAGTGGGTTATTTCTGTTTTATCCGTAATTTTGTGCTCATTTCCGAAAATGGGCAGGACTTTTCTTGCCTTATACTTGGCTTGCCCTGGAGATGAAAGCGACTCTGGACTGTACATAAAAGCTTGCACTCTTTCTAGTTACCGCTGTGAGAAACCTAAACCTAGTTTCCGAAATATTACGTAGAGATTGTTCAACGTAATATTTATCAGATGACTATACCACTGGGGATTTATATTTTCTGGGATATAACGTGATGTAGTCCGTTGGTAGTCAACAGACATTTCGGCGGAAGATGGCATTTCCATCTTCAGAGTCGAAGAATAAGCAAAGCAAAACACAAGTATTGTGACGTGTATTAGTGACTATAGACGGGGTTCGGATTGGTGATTAGATTTATTGACCACGTACATGTCGTAACTACAAATAAATATAACACTATTGTTGATTTTTACACTACAAATCACGCCACACTAGATCATCTCAGTCTGTTGTCACCAGTATTCGTAACAGCCCTCAACAATGGCTTTTCCTTTGCAATATTTTCACTATCCGTTTCCTGGCAACGGATTTTGACACACGAACTATAACAGTCACGCTCAGGATATCACTGTACTGCAACACATAGAAAGTCTTAAAATCAAACACCAAGTCTTCCCAACACATGCTGATTTACAAGTCTGAAGTGACCTGCTCTCAGTAATCCCAATGCCTCAACTTTTTTCCCCCAGTTTCCTAACCTGGCAGGCTGGCGCCTCGAGCTAGACTGACTCAAAATCAAAGTCAAAGCCAAATCACATTGCGACTGACGGCCAGTCAGTAAGTCTCAGTATCGAGCCCCATCTGTGGCTCGTTACCGGATATTTATTACTGTTTGACAGTTACGGTCTTGTTTTTGTGGGGCGCCCTCTGCCGAGAGGAGGGGTCTGTCTTTTTTATATGCTGCTGGTCCTGGCCAGCGCAGCCTTTCTCGAGTCCGAGTCGCTTGGGACTCACGACCATATTTTGCTGTCTCAGATTTGAGACTTACCTTTTCGTCGCCTCCTATGACTAGCAGGGTCACGGTGGAAGTATTCGACCCCGCCTCCACACTGGTGACTGATTCAAAGGACCTTCCATGTCTTTTGTAACCACTCGGCACGTATCACAGCAGAAAACACAGCCTCGGCGCGGACAAATAGAAAACACCTGTCTGCATCACTTCATCTATTTCTGTGTGACGACACCGCGTACGCGTAAGCTGCATGAGCTCCATAGCAACGATCCGTGCGCGGACCACAGAAACCACTTCTCCTGTATTGTTGGCCGCTTGTGTGTTGCAGGCTTTGCCTTGCAGTGGACCTTGATGTAACATTAGGAAGCAGGTAGCAACCTCTGTTGCTGGTTTCTAGCGATCTCTGCTGCTTGCTATCTGCTTCATGCTAGTCCCCTGCTTGTCTTATTCCTCTACCCTGAAGTAGGAGGAGAAATGTTTCTCCGAAATGTTAGTTGACTTTCAACGGAATATACTGCATGATAAAATTCATCATAATCTTTGCTGTGAGAACCTTAGATCGATCATACGTGAATCAAACCTTGCCACAAACTTTTAGGAACTCATTGGATTACGCTCTGCGCAGATGTTTTCCGTCTTGTCGAAAAGATTCTCAACAGTAAAACTGTATCTGTAACACGTGAGTATCTGTAACAATAGCCGATACAAAAGAATTCAAGAAATATGTCTCAGCCTGAGGAATGAAGTTTCATTAAGAGAGGTATTAAGAGATGGGAGTACGCGGTAGCGTAGTTGGTTGAGGCACTATGCTGCAAGCCGGAAGGTTGCGGATTTGAGCCCCGATGAGGAGAATTTTTTTCAATTTATCTAATCCTTCCAGCCTCACTATGGCCCTTCGGTCGACTCAGCCTCTAACAGAAATGAGTACCAGGAATCTTCCTGGTGGGAAAAGCGCGTCAGGCCGGCGCGTCAGGCTGACAACGTCACCTAAGTTTCTGAGGCGACTGTTTGGAAGATGTGGGATCCTCGACGTCCCACAATCCTATGGGCATTCATGGCCTATTTCAGGGATAGCTTTACCATTTTTACCTTTTTATTAATTTAATAAAAATACGAGAAAATTAATTTAACCGATTTTTAATTATCGTAGGTAACTCTTTATATATATTGTAGCGTGTTTCGTGTGTCACGCTACAAATAAGTTCACGCCGTTGTTTGGTATAGCGAATTTATTCGGTTCGCTCACCTTAGACACACCTTACAATCATTTGTACTTGCAGTGTTACAATTACTGCTCACAATATCTCGGCGATGCTGGACTGTCTTCTCTGGCGGATTCCGAGACTGACTCCACTCCGAAGGCTTGGTAACGACCGACTTCTTAGATGGCTCGATGGAGACTGAAGACTTCTCGTCGAAGCCGGGCTTTTATAACCTCGGCCGCTGGTAGGCAAATGAATCCTCTGTTATAACCATGGAGACTCCTGTTAGAACTACAATGGAGCAATTGTTGTTTCCTATGCAACGGTCTATTCTAGCGTTTCCATAGAAGTGACTCTTCCGGATTCCCGACACGTTGCATTGCTCCCTTCTAAAGGTTGTTCGTCCCCGAACAGCCTAAAGGTTCTCCCTCGGTTTCGATTCGCGGTGTTCTGTTGGAAACGTCTGCAATCGGCCTTGGTGTCCTTTGCGCGTCTTATTGCGCCGTCCGTTTTACCGCATCCGCCCCTTTCTTTAGTGGTGCTCGTCCCGAGCACTTCCGTAGCCGAGAATTTGTCGGTCTCTTTGTTTTACATTCATTCTTCCATTCTCTATTTACCCTCGTCGGGGAGGCCGGTACTTCTACGTTACCGGTTCCTCCCATAAGAGCCGTTTCCCTTTTTTCGTTTTGGAGGGGGTCGACCCCTCCACAAGGTCCAATCTTTCTTTCGGCGTAGGCCGACGGGGGATTTGGCTATATCGTTTGGGGCTTTCCTCCTTTCCTCGGATATAGAGGCTCCTTTACGTCTCGGCTCCTTACGCCCTTGCTGCATTCCTTTTTCGTCTGATGTCTCCTCCCGGGCATGAATCCTGTCGCGTTTTCCTTCAGTATGCCGTTCCTCACCCAGTTCTTTCTGGGGATCCTGTTGCGCCGTGCTACTCTGGCACGGAAGGTCGTCCCCTTGCTGGAGAATCCCAACCTCTCGTGGGGTCCGCGCTTTGTCTGGGTGGTGTCCCTGAGGATGTCTATCTTGAGTCGTGACACACTCGCCCGGCGTATTGTCCTTCTGTAGTCGGCGGCCAATTCTTTACGCTGGTATCCGAAGATTCCCTTGGGAGTTTCCTTCTTGGAGTCAGTTCTCCAACGTCGTGACACTGTCGCGCGACGGGATGTCGTTCTGTGGCCGACGGCCAATTCCTTCTGGGGTTTATGAATTACCCGTGTTCCATCCTTCGCTGTCTGGCGGCGGCACTCCGCGGCCAGTTTCTGGTCCCTACGCCTTTTCTTCGGTTCTCCGACCGGTATTCTCAGGGCGTCTTCTACGGGGACCTCTTCTCTCTGCGTCGCCTCAGGTTTCATGTTCACTGAGACGGGCTCCACTACATCTTGGCAGGCTCTCGTCTCTTCCTGCCAGGCGTTCATATCGGCTTTCAACTTCTTGGCTCGCATGGCGGCCATTTCTTCTCGCCATGCTTTCTGCTCGGCCATCATTTGTTTATGTCGGGCGTCGGCCTTGGCCTCGTTGACATCTGCTTTTTCTTCGTAGGCTGTCATTTTCTTCAGCAGAAGTTCCATCATCTGCTGCATGTCCATTTTTTTGTTGTTGTTGTAGGACGCGTGTTAAAGTTTGTAAAACACTTCTGACACCAATGTAGCGTGTTTCATGTGTCACGCTACAAATAAACTCACGCAGGTCTCAAATTCCGTAGAACATTTATTGTTCTTCACGCTTACACAATCACACGCTTTACAATTGTCAGCCTACACAATTTCTCGGCGATGCTGGACTATCTCTTCTGGCGGTTATTCCAAGACTGACTCCTTTGAAGGCTATTCCGAGACTCTCTTCTTCGAAGACTGATTGATATATATATGGCGGTAAGGTTTTCAGCCTTACGCGTCGGCCACCCTTCCCCCCCAAGAACATTCCAAGAATATTTCTGGTACTCATTTCTGTTAGAGGCTGAGTCGACCCCAGGGCAATAGTATGGCTGGAAGGATTAGGCAAATTGAAAAAATTAAATGACCTCATCGGGATTCGATCCCGCGACCTTCCGGCTTGTAGCATAGTGCCTCAACCAACTACGCTACCGCGTGCATATATATACTAGTACATATATGCACACGGTAGCGTAGTTATATAGATGTGTGTGTGTGTGTGTACATTTTGTGCCAGAAATGAGAATTTCTTGTTCCTACAGGAACAGAAATGCCTGAGGAAGTGCTCGTCGGATGAAGACTGCAAGAGTAAGAAAAAGAAATGCCTGTGTGACGGCGCTTGCGGAATGAGTTGCATCAAACCAGGTAGGATCAGTTTCGGTCTATGAATGCAACATTTTTCAAAGCATTAAATATCTAGATTAAGAAGCTTGTGCTTAGCTTCTGCCTCAGTAATTCTCGTTGTTACACATATACTATACGTAAGTGATATACGTGGAAATTTATGTTATGGCTCCTGTGCAATGTTATATGTCACGTTTTTCAGTTTTGTGAAAAGCGAATTTTATTATTATTATTATTTAGTATAATTTCTGTACTGTTGACTAACTTGGTAGTACTAAATTAACACCAAAATGTATAAATGATGCAAAATGACACAATTACAAATTTGAAATTACATGTTCGATGTTATTATTATTATTAGTAGTAGTAGTTTTAGTATCACTCACACTACATTGCGTCGAATGATTTGGTGGTTATGAATAATGAATTTAAGGGGAAGTAGCTTGAAACTGTCGTGGATTTAGTTTTAGGTTATATCCTGGAATTTGCTTAAAGGGTTTAAGAGAAATCACGAACATCTTCATTCGGGGGCAGAGGGCACGGTAGATCCAAATAGCGTTCCTTGTATTTCGTCTCGAATAATTCTGGGGATTGCAAATTTTTGGAAATTGTTACCGGAGATTTCCTTTTGAGAGTTCGGCCAGCACATGAAGTGCAAAATGTTTAGATCTAATCTAGACCTTTATGATTATACGTTAATGTCAATAAAACCCAATAACAATAAATATATCAGAAATTTTGTAGGACTCAGCTCTTTGGACTGGGAGGGGGACATACTACATCTACATGGTACAGCATGACGACACTGCATAATTCAGACATCCTCAGGGTGGGATTCTAATTCAGTGTTTGAACGATACAAGAACATAAGCACGTTAGACTTTCGATTACAATGACTTTTCTATAATTTCATGGCTAGAATAATTACCAGATGAAAGCAAGTTTGCATTTAGATAGCTCTTATTTTATATTAGCGAATGTATACATATGTAAACCTATATTACGCTCATGCATATATAATCACGCCGGTCACGGTAGCCGAGCGGTCTAAGGCATGCACTGTCTTCGCTCGCTCGGAAGCCGGGATCGTGGGTTCGAATCCCACTCAGAGCATGGATGTTTGTGTGCGTTTTTCTGTGTTTATGTACAGGTAGAGGCCTTGCGACGAGCTGATCACTCGCCCAAGGAGTCCTACCGTATGTGTAAGATCTAGTAAACCGAAATGAAACGGAGAGTATTATGGAGGTAGGCCTACGCCCAAAATTGGGGCTCTAGCGCCACAGGAAAAAAGAATATATATATATATAATCACACATATACAGGCTGAAACAAATTTTATGTATAGGTTGTTCATATTGTGATTCCTCATGAAATGAAGTCGAAAATACTATATAACATACGTACCGTGACGTTTAGTTTTCAAGACACAAGTCACCGTTAAGTGGCCCAGTATATCAAATCATCAAATCGGCCTCCTTCAGTTTCAAGGCAAAAGCAGTTTCCTTAGGAATACGCCGTAACATATTGGCCTATACCATTGTCACATCTACTTGAATTCTTATCACGGGATCTTCGATAGTCCTGGGCATAACTGTTCTTCTTCAGGAATCCCTGCAGAAAAAGCCCATGGGACTTAGATCCGACGACCAAAGAGACCCTGAAATCGGTCCTCCACATCCAATCCACTATCCTGTATACGTCGGGTTCGACCACAGCAAGATATATTCGCCATAGTGAACTGGAGCTTCAGCGTGCTGGAACCATTGGCATATCTTCAGTCAGCCCCGCAGAACAACTTTCGTTGATCAGTCAGCCAATCAGGTGGCACACAGGGCCCCACGACAGTGCCTCAAAGATTTCGGCTGAAGCGGACTTGACACCCACGTTCGAGGGCAGAGGACGTTTAACACACCATCAAGCGTAAAATATTCTTCTTTTTTCACAGAATTTTAAGTAGAAAGGGCTCATCCGCAGGGTATAAATGACTTGGCTATTCACAAAACTGCAGCCTTAGAGGAGGATCGTCGGGAAACAAACTGCGTTCCGTTAGTACTGGTATGGATACAACTGATGTCATGAAGTCCTTCGAGGCTTCTCGGTTACGTCAGTCCAAATTCTTGTGCGATATCACTTGATATTCTCCAAAGTAGCCTACTTTCCTTGTTTTGATATAATAAAACAAGCTTATGAGACCACATTGGTGTCTGTATATCTCTCAGTCTGTCCGTGTCTCCTCCCATAATATTTATGCATATGAGGCTTATGAAATTACCTTGCTGAGTGTGTGCCTGTGTATTTCTTCTATTTTTTTTTTAGTTTTCTATGCGGTACAAACCTTATCAAAAGAAATTAGGCGATTAATTCTTCCTAGAAGTTTTTGTTTTGCCCTATGTGTTCCCCCAACTAGTGTTTTGTGAAGAGCGTGCTTTTTGTGACAAATCGATTTGTCTCGGACGCTTACGACATCTGAACCTGTCGTCTGCGAGCCATATTACAGCGCTTTCGACCGTGTGTTCTCGCATCAGTTCTTTGCTACATTCTAATTACTGACGTTCAATATATCGAGATTTATGACAGAAAGTTCAGGTGCTTTATTTGCTCGAAGTGCCTTATCGTTGCTTCCCCAGGGAAATTCAAAACCATTAATAATGTCACGATACCATTAACTGTTTACTCCACAATGACCCGCTGTTATGTTATGAACAGGTTTGTATTTCTTGGTATTTTGCCAGGCGTAGGAAAAGTTTTACAACACGAAAAATAAAACAGACGTCACATACGTCACTGTACCTAGCCTGATCGCCTTCCGCATGTAGGTTCCCCGACTGGTTCTAATAATATTCTGGACTTTCTAAAGATAGCTTAAAGAGATCTGAGGAATTTGTCTACTACACAGAGAACTCAATATATACATAGAAAAACTTTTAAAAAACAAAATAAATACATATATTTAAATAAAAGATTTTGGTTTTCGGATTCGAAAGAATATGTGCATATGATGTCTTCTTGATCCATCCATCCATCCACCTCTCCGCCCATCCATCCACCCATCCATCCACCCATCCACCCATCCACCCATCCATCCACCCATCCATCC